GGCCCCGCCGGGGGCCCCGCCGGGAGCCTCGCCCGGGCGCCGGCCGCCGAGCCAGCCCTGCGCCCCGCGGGGACCCGACAGAGCCGCTCCGCGCGCCGCCGGCCCTCCCTGCCGCCCGCCCGCCAGGACGCGCCCGCACCTCGCAGAAAGGGCGCCGCGGCGGTGCAGCGGGGAGACGCCGGCCGCTGCCTCCGGGAACCTCGCGGGCATCGCCCCGCAGCGCGGCGGCTCCGAGCCCCGGGCAGGAGGAGGCCGAGGCGGCGGCGGAGAGTCGCGGCATCGCCCGCCGGTGCCTCCGCCTTGCCGGCTGCTCACGGCTCCCGCCCCCGGGTAACCAGCGCTTGCTCTTAAAGGCGCCCGCTGCCGGTTAGGCCGCGAGGTGAGGAAGACGGGAGGAGTGGAGTGGAGGCAAGAAAGGGGGAGGGGGCAGCACAGACAGCATCCCAGGAGGCTACAGCAGTCTGAACTTCGGACTCCTCCCATTCCGGGACCCCGGGGCTCCCCACTCACGCTCCTGGGCCAAGGCCCTCTAAGGGTTAGGTAAGTGACCCCACACACGCGTAGGCGCTGCTGGCCAGCCCAGGGAACCTCGCTTTTGCTTGGACTGCACACACCCCTGTTAAGGTCTTGACCAAACACCCATGAGTGGGCATTGCGTTAAGGGCTGGTGCCCAGTGGGACTGCGTGCTGCTCCCGCTGATTGTGCAGTCTCCCGGGTGGTTCTTCATGCCAACACTGTGATGCCGATCTCTCATGCTGGAACATTTCAAACTGAAGACCAGCTTGGAGCCCTAACTGGACCCCTGAAGGAGTCTTGCGGTGCAGAGGCAGGCACACCTTGCCTTGATCATGCTCTGCTCTTTCCAATTCACACTTGCCAGGTAGCCTCCGACTGGGTTCCAAGAACTATCAGCATTCATGATCACCAAACTGGACTCAGGAAGACCCTAAAAAAATAAAATAAAATAAATCTCATCATCAAATCTCAGCAATGCTGCCTTTGAAATGCTGCTTCCAAGTGATAAATGATAGGTTTCCAAACCGTCATCAACATTTGTGGGTACAGGCAGAGTGGAGGTCGCAGGAGCCTCAGCACATCAGCAGGTGCCCTGACTCCACAGCAGACCATTCATCCAAAGCTGCTCCAAAGCTGTCAGTCCCACGGAGCAGCTCTGGCTGAGGCAGAAAGGAACTATTAGGCAACTAGGGGGTTATGGTCCAGCCTGGGCTACAAACCGTCAGTCTCAGGGAAGGACTTCGACATTTTCTAATTCAAAGGAACTTGTGCCTTATACCATGACCTCAATCAACTCTCAACTCCGTTCTTGCCCTCAGGCCACTGAAGTGTGCAGGGACGGTATGCAAGAGGTGGAAGCAGTTTTTGTTACCAGATGGAGAGGACTGAGCTCCAGGCTTTGTTAAGAAAGAAAGAAAGAAAGAAAGAAAGAAAGAAAGAAAGAAAGAAA